GCATCAGGCAGTGGGGGATGCTCTGTGGGAAGTGCCGGGCAAGGCTGTGAGGGGGAGAGCTGGGACAAGACCCTTTTCCCTGTCACCTGCCACCTCTGCGCCGGGGTGCTCACTCCGATGGGATGTGCAGAGATCCCTCTTTATTCTGGCCAGGCTGGAGGGGCAGTGCTCCTGGTGGGGGTGGTCCCTCTGTGATGGCAGAGGGTCCCCATGGGCAGTGGTGGCTCCAGTTGCCCCGGGCTGGGGGGCTACAGGCAAAGCCCTTCTGAGGATGGCATCAGGCACTGGTTTAGGGGTGCTGAGCTGCACCTCGGGGTGTCGGAGCAGCGTCAAGGGGATTTTCCCATGGGAATCCAAACTCGAGTGGAGCCATGGCCTGGCCCCACATCCCAGGGGCCAGCATCGCCCTGCGGAGCAGCCTGACGGCTCCCCGAAAAAGAGCATCACGTGCTTCAACTTTGGCATCAGGCAGGAGGAGGATGGATTTGTCAGCTCAGCCACCCCCTTCCAGCTCTTCCCAGAAAGGCAACGGCTTGAAGAAGTGGCAGGTCCTAATTATAACATACGTGAACCTGCGCCCGCCGCCCTCCCCGGCTTCATGCCCGCTGCGGGCACCGGCTCTTCCTCCCGGGCACTGCATCTCACCGAGGGTTTTCCTCCCTGCAGTTCCCTGGATGGCCCCGCACAGAGCCTGGCTCAGGATGGGGGTCTCTGGAGTCACCGCCGGGGGGGTGTGGGCAGGGGCTGGCACTGCCAGACCGCAGTGTCGGGGCGTGGGTGTGATGGGGAGCGGGGACACCGCGCGCTGCCGCGGGCACCGCCGGGCACCAGCAGTCAGGCCGTGCTCTCGCTCAGAGCCAGCACCGTCCCAAATTGCAGATGGCGATAAAAAATTAATTGCGGGATTCTGCTGCACGTGGCAGGAGCGGGGACCAGCACCAGCGGCGGCTCCTTCCTTCCTTCCCTCCCTCCTTCCCTCCCCGCCGCTGGAGCTCTGCGCTGGCTGCCCGCGGACGCCTCGCGCCGCCTGCCCGCAAGGTGAGCTGCTGCTCTCTCTCCGCTTGCTCCGGGGCTGCATCCTGCTCGCCTTCCCCCCCTGCCGCGCCATCCCATCCTTCAAAGTGAGGGATTAGCCCTGACCCGCTTGGCAGCGGGAGGGAGGCGGAAGGAGAGGGCTTGCTGCAGTTAAGGACAAATATAAATATGGTGTGATAAATGTTCCCTGGATTTCCTCTGTGCCCTATGGGAGCACTTTTGGTTGGACTTCAGCATCCTTCAGGAGATGCTCCGGGGCACTGAGGTGGGTGGTCATACCCAGCTTTTCCCCACCACGGGGCTCTGAGCCGGGTGCTGGCAGGACCTGGCTGCAGAGAGGACGAGTTGGCACCTTGGTGATGGGCTCAGGCTTGTGCGAGCGTTGTGCTATCGGTTCATGCATCGATTGAGGGGTTGCTGGGGCAGGGGCTGTGTTTTGAGCTCACTGGGGGGTTTGGATGGCACAATCTGGGGTCTCTGCTCTCTGCTGCCTGCTGAGCCGTAGCCTTGCTTCTCCGAGCGGACACTGGGGTACTGGACCTGAATACTTAAGGTTTTGCCTGTCGGGAGAGAACTTAACCTGGCATCCCCTCCCTCTGTCCATGTCTCAATTCTGCTCTACTTCATGGAGCTTTTGCAATTAAAAAGACCAGGAGCCAAGCAAAGTACCCTGTAGCTGCTTGCAAGCGGGAAGAGTGAGTGTACACTAATTGGGATATTGTGCTGCCTGCTGGCTGGCCCTGCTTGCTGGAGGAAGAGCAGGTGGGGAAAGAAATAGCCTTGATTTTCAAAAAGATGCTGTGGAGCTGGTAGGAACCAGTGTGGCTTAAGCTGGCACAGCCCTCCCAGTGCCAGGGCTGGGCTGGAATCTCTGGTGCTGGTGGAGCTGGGCTCTTTGGCAGCTGGGGATGGGTGCAGGTGAGCGCTGGGTGCTCTTGGCTGATTATTGCTGCATCTCCTGGGCTGTAACCAGCTTAGCTTCTGCTGGGTTTAACAAGCCCCAGAAAATGCTCTGGCTTTGAACTGGGAGATAATGGATCCTGCTGCAGGCAGAGCTCTGGGCAGTGGGGTCTGTCCGGAGTGTGTCCACCACAGTCCAGCCTGGGCAATGCTTGCAGGGATGTGCAGGAGGAGCTGCAGGAAGGAGCCACAGAGGCGATGCCTGGGGTGGCTGGTTGCTCCTCCAGGCGCTGGAGAGGGTTTTGCAGCAGGAGATCTCTGTGATGTGGGGGAATTTTTAATCAGAGTTTGATTTCATGGAATCACAGAATGGTTCGGGTTGGAAGGGACCTTAACGCTCATCCAGTTCCAGCCCTTGAAATGGGCACGGACACTTTTCACTCCACCAGGTCGCCCCAAGAGGGGCTCGCCTGCCCAGCTGAGCCCTCTCCTGTTCCTTCCAGGGCCCTCCGTGGCTGACGATGCCGGTGGCCCGGTGGCCACCACTAGAGGGGGGCAGGATGCCACCGTGCTCCATCCATGTCCGGGGCGCCGGGACCCGCAGGGCTCTGCCTGTCCTGGGGCAGCAGCCCCGGCTCCCTCTGCCCTGGCGCTGCTCAGCCCACCCTGGCTCGGGCAGGGGATGACCCACACCCGGGAGATCTCGGTTTGCTTGGTGCTTGTGCCGCCTCCCAGATCCAGATCGGGCTGTGGCATAGCCAGGATGAGGGCGATGGGAGGGCTCTGTCCTCACCGATGCTGTGCTGGTGCAAGTAGGAGAAAGCAGATTTTCTCCTTCCTTTGGGGCTGGGGTAAGCACCGTGCTGAGTGATGATCCTACCCTGTTATTGCCTTATTGCCACCCTCGTGGTGCCCCTGTGGAGCCGGGCAGGTAGAACAGGAGGGTGGCTGTGGCCCCTCGCTGCCCGGTGTGTGTGGGTAAGGATGTTCCCTGCTCCGTGAGCACCTGCTGTAGGCAGGTGTCTTCTTCCAGATGTGCACCTCCCTCCAGATGTGCCCCTGGTGGAGCAGCTGCTTTGGGGAGGCTCAGGCATGGTGGAACCAAGGTCTGGGCTGTGTGGAAGCAGCGACCTGAGTGTGGCTGAGGAGCTGCTGGGGACAGGTGGAGGGGACAGGGGTGCTCATCTGTCACCCCTTCCTGGGCCGTTTGCAGCAGGGGCTCATCGGGTAACTCCGGCTCCATCTCCCCCGTGAGGGATCCAAACCAGCTCCCTCCTCCTCTCCCCATTATTTGTGCTTTCTTCTTGCCTGCCGTGATATTTTTACCTTCAGTTCGTTCAGATTATATGATCAAAGGAGCCACAAAGGGGAGAGAACAGAGAGGGAAAAAGCTTAAAAGAAGAAAGGGAAAGGCAGTGGGCTCTGGGGGCACTGCCAGCTCTGCGGGAGCTGCCGTGGGCTCTGAGGGTTTTCCTGGGAGCAGGTCCATGGTGTGAGCATCCCACCTTTGATGGGCAGAAGTGTTGCAGCTCCAGGGATGAGGGTGGGAGAGCTGACCTGCTTTTGGCTGGTGCGGGGCTCTGAAGGCAGCTGTGGTGTCTGAGCATCCCTTTATCTCCCCATCCTCCTCCTCCTCCCCAGCACGGGCAGAGCCTGACCCACTCCCAGACCGTGCAGGAGCCACATTCCCCTGCTCCGTGCCCACTGGTGATGTGTGGGGTGCTCCTTGCAGGGGAACAGGACCATGCAGAGCTCTGATTCCTGTCCCTGATCCCCATCCAAGCAGGGCTCTCCCAGCAGGCTGGGGCGGGGGTTTTGCTGCAGCATTCCCAGCCTCCTGCCTTTGGAAGCACAGAGCTGGGCACCGGGTAATTCTGGTTCCTTAAAAGCCCCGGCTGTCAGAATCGCTTTGGAGATGGGCCTTCAAGCGGCTGCGGCTGCATCGGCCGGGGAGGTGCATAATTTATGGAGGTGAGTTGAAGCCAGGGTCCTCCTGGCTGGGATGGCTGCAGAGCAGGAGCACCCTTGGGGCTGGTGAGACTGTCCAGCAGCTGTGGGCTTGGGTGCCGGCTCTGAGCTTGAGCTGAGGCTAATTTAAGCTGTTTCCTTGGTCTCACTGTTGCTGCTCGTCCTGCCTGGGGAATGCATTTGCCGGCTCGGCTCCTCGCTGCTTTTGGTGCCTGCATTAATCATGCGCTGCCCTCAGCATCCATCAGCGGCTGCTGGGAGAGACGGCGGGGATGGGCATGAGGGCGAGCCTGCCTCGGGGGGAAACTGAGGCAGGGGCTGTGCTGCTGGGACAGGGACAGCTCAGGTGCTGTCGATATCTGCTGCTGGAAGCCGTCGATAACGGAAGCAGCTGCTGGTTCAGGAATCGGTGCCCTGAAGGGAGAGCGGCAGGAGTGCGGGGCTTTGGGCTGTGACTCGGATCTGGAATGCTGGGTTTTGACAGTGCCTGGCTCTAGCTGAGGATGCAGACCTCAGTCTGTTGGGCTCCAGACAAGTGGGCTTGTGGAAGGTGACTGAAAAACCAGCTGGGAAAAAGTAGGGGTGTTTTAGGATAGGCAGGGACCAGGGCTGGGGGTGTGTGTGGGGTTTGCTGCACTCTGAGCACTGTCTTGGGACACCCTCTCAGTTCCCTTCAGAAGGGACAGGGTCTCAGGGCCCCCTCTGGCCTGTGCTGCTCTGTGGGGCAGTGTCCCTGAGGCCCTAAATCTATTTTTTTGCAATAATCCCTAGTGCTTATTTCCACTGATGAAACCTGGAACAGCCAATGTCCTTTTCCTGCTCCTGCCTAATTTTCTCTTCCCTTTTCCCTGTCCCTCCAAGGTCTCCGGAGGAAGGACCCGAAGCTTTGCGTGGGCTCGTGGCTCTGCTGCTGTCTCTCCTCTCTGGTGTAGCCATGCAGACCCCAGCACCCTCCTGCATCCCGACCTCCCTGTGCTCCCCCGGGGCCGGCAGCACCGTGGGGAGCCGCTGACGGAGCCATGCCGCCCGCCCAGCCCAGCCCGGCCCCCTGAGTGCCGCGTTCCCGGCCCGAGCTCTGCCCCAGCACGGCCTTGGCGATGAGCGGGGGTCACTTTTGCATGGAGCGTTTGTCCTTCTGCCTCCTCCTGAGTGCCTGGAGCTGGGGGTGGGCGCCTGGGGGTGCTGCCAAGCCCAAAGGCCAGGGCTACCCGCACATGAACTCCATCCGCATCGACGGCGACATCACGCTCGGGGGGCTCTTCCCCGTGCACGGCCGGGGCGCCGAGGGCAAAGCCTGCGGGGAGCTGAAGAAGGAGAAGGGCATCCATCGCCTGGAGGCCATGCTCTTCGCCCTGGACCGCATCAACAACGACCCCGACCTGCTGCCCAACATCACGCTGGGCGCCCGCATCCTGGACACGTGCTCGCGGGACACGCACGCCCTGGAGCAGTCGCTGACCTTCGTGCAGGCCCTCATCGAGAAGGACAGCACCGAGGTGCGCTGTGTCAGCGGGGGACCCCCCATCATCACCAAGCCGGAGCGCGTGGTCGGCGTCATCGGCGCCTCGGGCAGCTCCGTGTCCATCATGGTGGCCAACATCCTGCGGCTCTTCAAGGTAGGGCTCGGCCAGGTGAAGGGAAGCCCTCGGCAAAACCCCTGCGGGTGCTTTGGCAGCTTTTCTCCTCGTGTGCCTCTTCCTCCACAGCTGGGGGGAGGCAGGGCTGGTGCTGTTAAAATGCTTCTCCTGCCTCCCCCGGGTCCCTGGGGATCCCTTCCTCCATCCCTTCTCCAGTGACGACACTCGGAGCAGGAGGATTTTTGTCTCATCTTCCCCGGTTTCGTGGCGCTGGTGCTCCCACCCTGTGGAGGGGGCTGGATGGGAGGTGGGCTGAGGGTGGGTGTGCTGCTGGTTCTGGGGGATGCTCCTTTGGGGGTGTGGGTTCTCCCCAAAATGTAAATCCCACCTGAGCCAGAGGGCTGGAGGCAGCGATGGCCGATGGCAGGGGACAGCTGGGGCTGCTCTGCTCCGGTCCAAGGGGACATCAGCCAGGCTGGGGATGCTTGTCTTGTGCCACCAGCCCCAGAGGTGCTCAGGCTATGGTGGGATGAGTAGGGCTCTTCCTCCTGCTCTGTGCCAGCTGCAGGAATGCCGAGGAGTTGATAATTCCTTTCCCCCTTGCTGTACATTTATTTATCCACAACCCCGTCCCTGGGCTGCAGAGTGTGTGAACAAGGGTTCCTCTGCAGAAATAAGGGAGAAATGTAAATATTCTGCACCTCCAGTGGCAATGGTGGTGCCATTGCCATCCTGGCCTTCTCCCAGCACCCTGAAACCCCTGTGTTCTGCAGGATTGGTGCTGTTTCCCCCTCTGTCTTTCCCCTCCTCTTCCTCTGCCAGCCCATTGTGCTGAGAGCTGGGTCCCCTCCTGGGAGGGCTGGAAGCTGTTAAGTGAAGACGGAAGAACCAGATCGCTGATGGAGTTTGATTTTTCTGGGTCCCTTTTTTTTTAAAAACGTGTTAATGTTCCAGGCAACGAGTGAGAGGGCTATTCAATAATTAAAATAATATAAATTAGAGAGAGTGGGAGGAACTTAAAAGCTATTTGCCAAGACAAAAAAGATTGAATACTTGTTCTGGAGAGGAGGAGGGAGGCTGGAAGTGGGGAAGGAGGTAGGAGAGTGACAGTCAGAATAGTCGGGGGCAACTGAAGTCTTTCTAGGTTCTTTTGTTTTTTCCCCTCACCCTTCTCCTCCAGTTTTGGTCCTTGGGCAAAGAGCTGTGACCTGTTCAGAAGGATTTCACTGAGCTCAGGTGCAGCCCTGCCCCAGCTGAGGAGCCAGGCACTGCTGCTGCTGCTGGTGCATCCTGAGCCCCAGGAACTTCAATCCAGAGCTGAATCCCAGCCCAACGGGGCAGGGAAGAAATGCAGATGGGGGGACGAACAGAGACTTCAAAACCCCTTGGGAGAGGAGAATAAGGAAAATCTCAGCCTTTCCTAGACAGCAAGGAATCCCAGTGGGGGGGTTGGTGCCCTCCTCGGTGGTCCCAGCGCAGGGACACCATTCCCATGGGATTGGGGTCATGTCTGGGCACAGCCATTCCTGCAGCAGGCAGGGGCTGGGAGTTTGGGGGGTCTGGAGGCTCTTCCCCCCACCATGACCCGAGTGCTGCTGCTGCTCTTTGTTATTCAAACACTGCTTTTATGGCAGGCACATGCTTAAAATGAGAATAAGGCGACTTCCATTTCACGCTGCCGCTGACCTTTAAGTGTGGGTGACTCTGCTCCGAGGTTCAGCAAAACACTGACTGCCTCGGGCACAGGCAGCTGCCTCTGGCCATTCCCTGGGGCATGGCACTTGCTGGAGCTCTGCTCTCACTTGGCCCTGTGTTGCTGTGTCCCTCCTGTCCCCCTTGGTGCTCCCCCAGCATGGGGACGTTGGCAGAAAGTGCTGGGAGCTGGCAGAGGGGGACCCTCCCTGCGGGGTGTTCCAGGTGCCCTCTGAGTGTTCAGGTTTCTGGAGTGCTCAAGTAGTTCTTGGGGAGGGCTCCAGCACTTCTGGGAAGGCTCCAGCACATCTGAAAGGGCTCCAGGATACCCAGCAAGCAGCATAGAGTGAATCAGAGTCCACCAAGGTGAGGAGCCCACACAAGCCCAGCACAGCAGCACCCCCAGTCTTCCCCCTTCTCTCCTGTGGCCATGAGCACACTGCAGGTGGCTGCTCCTGTCTCAAAATGATGCTCTCCCTGCTGTGGTCCCTTGTCCCATCCCACACTCCCTCCTGTGCACCTCTCCCTGCTCCATCCCCTGCAGACCCCCCAGCCCTCCCTGCTAGGCTGGCCTTGCTCCTCCCTGCCAGGGCTTTTGTCGCTCTGCACCACATAAATAAATAACGGGTCCTTCGTTAGCTGCCGCCTCCTAATTAAAGCTGTACATCAGTGGAACAACTTGCAGATGTGGCATCCTCTGTCCAAGCTGGTTTCATCGCTCCTCGTCGCTCTGCCTGCAGAAAATCCTTTCCCCAAATCCATGCTCTGGGCTCTGTGTGATAGCATCTCCCTGGCATCACTGCCAGAGCGCTCTGGCACCTTCCAGCTCCTTCCCACCCCTTGCTGCTGCCTCTGCAGCCCCAGCTCTACCCACTGGCTCCTGAACCACCACAGCAGTGATGGTGTCAAGGAATCCAGGCCCTTCTCCTGCAAATGGGATCCCCTGAAAGGGATCTGAGGCGCGCTTTTCGTCCCCATCCAGAAAGAGCTGTGCCAAGTTGGAGCGCAAGCGCTCAGCGTGGGGTGAGCAGCCAGAGGATGGCTTTGACACGTGCCAGGCACTTTGAGGTGGCTGTTTCCTCTCGGTGGCAGCGAGTGCAGGCGCTCTCTGCAGCGCAGGGCTGTTGTTCAACATGAATAATTCACCTGAGGACGGCGCTGCCCGCGCTGCAGCCGGGCACTGGGCACCCGCAGCCCCACGAGGCTGCGCTGCCTGGGGCTGGCAGGTGCAGAGCTGGGTCAGCCCCTGGCTCTGAGCCCCTCCTGGCAGTGCTGAGCCCCTCCTGGCAGTGCTGAGCCCCCTGGCTCGTGGCAGGGTGCCCTGAGGCTGTGGGGGCAGTGGGGTGGAGGGATTCAGGACAGCTTCCCCACTGAGCAGGTAAAATAACCTTCACTGAGCGGGAAGGGGGACGCTCTGATTAATCACCCGCTGCTGCCACTTCATTTCCTTGCTCTTCACTGGGCTTATTGAAACAAATTGCAGCTGCCTGGCTCCCCTGGGCTGCCCCCAGCCCTGAGGGGTCCCTGGGCACAGCTTGCTGAGGAGGAGTGGGACAGGTGGTGGCAGGGATCAGGGACAGCATCCTCCTGCGCCTGCTGTGCTTCTTGGAGTTTTAGTTCTGTCTTTTCCCTCTCCAGGGAGATGCCAGGGGCTGCATCCTGGGCCTGACCCTGTGCCCAGGAAGGGGCAGCAGGACGGGGCTGCAGCTCCTTCCATCCCAGCACTGAGTTCCAAGCAGCCCTGCTCAGCTCCTCCCTGCCCCAGCCCCTGCGGTGCTTTACGCTCTCCCTAATTAAAAGCTGCCATCCAAATGGCTCGATGATGGAAATTCTAATTAAATCAATTCCATCTTGTCGGCGAACCAGGGCTTTGCATAAGATATGCATGAAATTAATAATTATGGGGAGGGAATTAGCTGCTCCTGACCCTGTATTGGCATGGGGGGAGTTGGTGCAGGAGCCCCCTGCTTGTGGGGTGCTCCTGACCAGTGTGTTCAGCTCTGGCTCTGCAGTGGTTTTGGTTGGTTTTTGGTTGGTTTTTGGTTGGTTTTTGGTTCTTCCTGCCTGCTCAGGCTGATGTTGGCATCAGTGGTTTAAGCCTGAGTTGGGATGTGCTGAAGTTGCCACCTTTGCCTAATTCTTACCAGCCTGGGGGGATTCTGTCTCCTGCTGGTGGAGAAAACACCACAGCAGCTCCTGAGCCACATTAATGATGGGTGATCATGGAGGGTACCAAATGCAGCTTTCCCAGTGCATTTGAGGTCAGTCACACCAGTCCCTTGACCCTGGGGGAGCAGGATGACACCTCCAGCCCCAGCTCCCACCATCCCAAGGGATGTTTCTCCAGGCTCAGGGTGCTTCTGGGTGATGATTTTTGATTCAAAACAAGAGAAGGAAGGAGGTTTAATCCCTGCCCTGGGATCACTCCCTACCCTTGGTGGGACAAGGAACTCTTGGGGTGCAGGAGAGCTGCTCCTCCTAATTTCCTCAACACAGGAGTGTTTGTCCCAGGCTGGAGATGAACCAGACAAGGGACCACCAGTGCAGTAAATTTGCAGTTGAGAGATGTTTCCAGCTCCTTCTTCTACTGCATCCTTCTTTCTAAGAACCTTGAATTCCCTGCCTGCATTTTGCTTTTATGTACCTAAAAGGACTTTTGTCTTTTATGTGAGAAAATAGCTGGTGCCAGGAGTTGGGCTATCAAAAAGGCAGAGGGGGGAAAAGGCAGAAGAAATCTATGAAATGGTCATTTGGGAACTGGTATTTTATTTTCACTTTCATCCAAGGCAGAGGAGTGAGGGGAAAAAGCCCTTTCCTTTTGTTTATTAAAATACAGCTTCCACTCCATAGCCTGTGGATCAACAGGTATTTTCTGGGCTTTGTGTTCCAGCTGAGGCTGGAGCAGGATGGGCAGCCCAGGGGTTAATCCAGGCTGTTGGAGCTTGGGTGGGATGGCAGTGGCGTGGGGAATAGCTGGGACCTCTCCATCCCCAGTGCCCTGTGGAAGAGATGAAACCAAAACACTTGGCAGGGGAAAAAACCATTGGGAAAGGACTCTCTGGAGAGGCAGGGGTGCATCCCTGCCCCCAGATCACCTTTGAGGTGCGCACGGCCTCCATCCTGAGCCTGTGTCCCTCCTGCAGGCTGGGCAGGGAAGGGGAGGGGTTGTGCTGGGAGCAGCCCCCCTGCTCCCCCCGGGATGAGCGATTGCCAGGCGAGCTCCTCACCTGCTGAGCAGAATTTTAATGGAGTCTCATGCACTGGCTCCAGTCAGAGATCCCCAACGAGCAGATCAGAGCCCCTCGGAACGGAGCACAAAGCAGATTGTCACGGGGAGTAATCCTATTTGTGCCTTGATAAAGATTCCTTCCTCTCCCTCTCCCACTCCTGCTTCATCTCTCCCTTTTTTCATCTCCTGTTTTGCAGGCAGGTAGAAGGGTGGCTGCTCCTTTCCAGGGGCCTTTTAGCATTCAGGTGGAGTCGTGGGTTTATAACACCAGAATCGCATTTAATAGAGAGAGGCAGGAGTGGGAGAGGGGAAAGCACAGAGAAACAAAGGAGGGAACTGGGAGATGCAGGGCTGGAGTGGGGCCAGGAGGGTTGGGACACCCAGCCCTGGTGCACATCTCATCCCTGGGCTGCAGCTCCCAGCTGGGCTCCCAGTGAGGTGGCTGGGGCTGATTACACCAACTCGGATTCCAACAGCTGGCGGGGAGAACCTGGGCTTGATAATTTAATAAGCCTTTTCCATCTTTAAGATAAATGAGGATGTGTGGCGCGTTTTGGAAATGGAAAGTGCTGTGTAAGTGTTAAACATCGCCTGATCTCGCGGTGCTAAATCATTCCAGTGTGCTGGGAGAGGTGCAGTGGCTCTGGGTAATTTAAGGGGCTTATTTAGGGCTGGGGTGGGGAGGGGCAGAATGGGTTGAATCTGTCCTTCCTGGGGAAGAAGCCAAAGGGAGACCCTGGCAATGCTGGCCAGGGCAGAATTATGGTTTTTTTCTTTGGTCTCTCCCACACTGGATTCTCCAGAAACCCTTCTGGGGTGCTGCTGGGTGTTCCTGAGCTGCAGGTGGTCCCCAAGCCCCGATGGAGCACCTGATGGTGGCACATGCTCCACCTACCCCGTGCTCATCCTCAGCTCTCACCTCCCTCTCCTCCAGAGCAAGGCTTTGGGACTGTGGGCATGGCTGTGGGGTGGAGATCATCACCTCCTTCCCCTGATTCTGTGCCTTTCCCTGCTCCATCCCAGATCCCCCAGATCAGCTACGCCTCCACGGCGCCGGACCTGAGCGACAACAGCCGCTACGACTTCTTCTCCCGCGTGGTCCCCTCGGACACCTACCAGGCCCAGGCCATGGTGGACATTGTCAAAGCCCTCAAGTGGAATTACGTCTCCACCTTGGCCTCCGAGGGCAGCTATGGTGAAAGCGGGGTGGAGGCCTTCATCCAGAAGTCCAGGGAGGATGGTGAGTGGATCTCTCCCGGGATGGGAGCAGCTGAGAGAGGAGGAGGAAAGGATAGCACTGGTTGGACTCCTTGGGCTGAGCTGGGATGGATGCTGTGCTCTGGGGGATGGCCCTGGAGCAGGGTGGGTTTTGGGGCTGCCCAAACAAGGATCCAGCGAGGCTTGGGACCAGCAATCCTGGGCTGCCTCAACTCTGCAGGGCAGGCTGCTTTGGGGAAGCATCTCGAGATCCCACTCCTTGCTCCCCAGCTCTGCCGAGCTCACCCCTCCCTCTGTGCCTGAGCCACGGCGCTGGGCGCCTTCCAGAAGACAAGATTTTTACAAATACTCCCAGGTTTTAACAGGAAATCAAGTTGGCACCAGCACGAGCTGCGCCCAATTTTAGTGGAATTATCCCCCAGGGCAGGTGCTTTAATTTGTCTACGGGCTTTGGACAGGCAGAAAGTCCGTGCTCAGCAGAACTCTTTGGGAGGATTTGTCTGGAGGCAAGAAAGCGTTTTGCTGACGGAAGCTCTGGGATGCTTAGGGGGGATTAGCAGCCTTGGGAGCAGCACAGGAGCTTGTGGGGACCTGAACACCAACCCCAGGATGGGTGAGGAGCCCTGGGAATGGCTGCTGTGGGTGCTGCTACCACAAACCAGAGGTGCCCTGGGACCCCACGGAGGGGCTGGCACAGCACTGGGGTCCCTCCTGGCTCTGGCATCACCTCAGCCCCCCAGCACAGGGTGGGATGGGAGCTAAAGGGTGTTTTTTGAGACAGTTAAACCCCTGCAGGGCGCAGGCTGCTGCTTATTACAGGCTTAAGTGTGTCTGAATGGCACATTAGGTTCTGGCAAAGTCGGTGGGACACCGGCCTATCCAGAGCCAGTCAAACTGCGTTATGGCCTTATAAATGGATAAAGGGAATAAAAACTTGGAGGTGACGAGCTCCTAATCAAAGCCCTATAAATAGGAGCAGCGTTAATTCCGTCTGTCGCGCGCACGCCCTGGCACCGGAGCCGGCTGTGCTTTTAGTATGCAGAGGAACCCATCTGGGGATCCAACTTGGGAGCTGCTCTTCAGGATTTTCACTTGAAAAGTGGAATATTTTTCACGGGGCTGTGGCTTCTCGAGGAGCAGCGCGTGGGGATGCTCCGGAGCCGTGGCTGCAGGGGATGTGTGGAGCTGCAGGTGCAAAGGGGCTGTGCTGGGCGTGTGTGGCACTGCCTGGCAGGTTTGGGGAGCGGCTGGGGATGCTCTGCTGCCCCATCCATGGCTGCAGCCCCCCAGGGGATCTGTGGGACAGCTGAGGGTCTGCACAGGCACGACTCAAACTCACGCTCCTCCTCCACTGAGCACCAGTAAGGAGTGGTGGTTTTGACTGGTCCTGCTGCAGCGTGAGCTCTTCTCCTTTGAGGTACCTGTGGTTACCACGAGCTCCTCTAACCAGATGTTAACGATCTGACAGCGTAATTGCAGAGTAAAGGAGTGCACACGGAGCCAGAGCAGCCACGTGTTAATCTGGGGCTGCTGCAGTCCTGTAATTTGGGTATCCACATAACCTGGCGATTATGTGCATTAGTGATAATTTAGTTATCAAAAAGCAGATTTCCACGGTGCCTGCAGTGTGAGGGCAGCCCGTGTGGTGCCAGTGGTGATGCTGCAGCCCTGACACGCTGCAGGAATGTGGAGATTTGTGGGAGCTGTCTGTGGGGCCCTGGGCAGGTTCTGAGCTGCTCCCTGGAGCATCTCCCTTGGGAGCGACTGTGGTGTGTCAGCCACACTGCTTTGCCCATGGAAGTAGAGCCACAGCCACGAATAATGGTGAGGCTAGACCAAAACTCTGCTTTTTCTTTTTTTTTTTCCGCTTTATTTTATGTATTTAACCCACCCAAGCCGTGCCATGTTTGGTGGCAATGCCAGGCTGGAGGAAGAGCAGACTCTGCCCACTTCACCTCTCTGTCTCCCCCTGTGCAAACTGGCCAGACACCAGACACCTTTACACAAGCACAGATTTATTGGGAAGGGGTGAAGGATCTCTGGGATATTCCTGGCTCTCAGTTGCATTTCTCCAGCAGCCTAAAGGACCCTGTGATTTGTCACAGCTTCCAGGGGCCTGCAGCCTGTCAGAGGGACGGACAGGGCTGCCAGCTGAGCGAGGATCTGGCCTGTGCCAGGCTCTGTCAAGTGCTGGAGATTCCCGTGGGGGTGTTTATGCTGGGGGAATGGCCAGGCACAACCCCAGCCCCCCACGCTGGCTCTGCCCGGGGGTTCCTCACCCACCCGGCTCAGGCTGAGCAGCTCCCGCTCTCCTCCCCACAGCGCTCTGCTTCATTTCTCATGCCAAGCCCGAGCCTTCAGAGTCGGGTTTTATTTCCATCAGGCAATAATGCTCATTGCTGTCGTTAGCAGCTCGCACTCAAGCTGTTTGCTTTCTGATGCATTATCAACTTGACCTTCAGTTTCAATTTTTAGCAGAGCCTCACGTTGAAGCTTCACAGCGCAGCGGAAAACGGTTCTGCTTGAGGCACAAAGCGACCTCCGACAGCGATGCGGGGAGGAAACTCGCCCTGGAGATGGGCTGTTCTTGCAGCTGGGGCTGGCCCTGGGCTACCACAACAGACTGACCTGGGTGGCTGTTACATCTTTATTCATTTCTCTTTTTATCTTTATCCATGTTTGCGGTCGCTCTGGTGATGATGCTGTTGGCCCCTGGTGGTTGCTGGTGGCTGCGCTGGTGGCTGGAGAGTCCTTATTCACCAGAGCGCTGCTTTTTGGGTTTTAGCATTGCAGAGATGTTCAGTCTGCAAAGGATGTGTTTTCTTCAGCCATTTTAAAGTGGTTTGAGTGCATTCTGCTCCCAATATCCATCCTACTCCCCCAGAGCATCCTGCACTGGCAGTGGCTGTCAGCTGGATGGCAGGGCCAGCAGCGGGGTGTCCCTGGTGTCCCCACCTCCAGCCCCTCTGTCCAGCATTTCCCCATGCCCCTGACCTGTGGCATCACTTTGGTGGTCTGATAGGCCCACCCAGGACCCTCTGGCTCTGTGTTGTTGAGGTCTCTGCTGTCTCCAAGCTCTTGGAGATGAGGGCTGGGATGGATGTCTGTGTAATGGAGCTGGCCTGTGCCACACCTTGGGTCTGAGGAGAGGGGAATATTCCCAGCCCAACTCCTTAGTCACGTACCTGGATCAATTTTGCTGCCGTTTCCCCCCCTTCTATTGTTTCATCCTTCACTAAGTTTTCCATATTTTTAGTGAAGAGCCTGATGTATATTTGTGATGTGTTTGCTCATCCCCATGTGACATCCCTGGCTGTCTCTCTCTGGTTCCAGCCGGGCTCATTACTCGCGGTGGCTGCACCAGGAGGTCGCCCCCAAAAAGCCACTCCCAAATCTTGAGGCAGGAGCTTTGAGTTCAGCATTTCGGTCTGCATTTCCCCCTGATGGCTTCTTCTGTGATCATTTGCTTCCTGGAGGCTTTGAAGTGACACAAACAATGAGTCCCAGGGCAGAGGAGCAGCGCACTGCTCCCAGTGTATCCCAGTGAATCCGGAATCTCAGGGGAAGGCTGGAGTTAGGAGGGGAGCTGGGAGTGGGAATGCCATCGCTGCTGGGCTGTGTAGAGCCTGATCCCTCCCCAGAGTGCCCAGCACTGCCTGGGGTGGGGGGAGCACCCACATCTGCATGGCTGAGCCAGTCCCTGCTTTACCCCCTTAGCCAGGTCCCTGCTTGCTGCCAGCTTGGCAGGCTCTGCGGGAGCGCTGGCAGAACCCCCTGAGCCAGGAGCTAATTAAGCACCGGTAATCAAGAGGGGAAGCCGGAGTGGCTGCGCTCCCACCGAGCTGTAATGGTGGAGATTAAACCCTGACCCGTGTTTGACAACAGGCGTTCCCAGGAGGGTCCCTGCGGCCCCGGGGGAGGCGAGATCCCACCGGGACCAGAGGGATTGAGGATGGCAAAGGCAGCACGGCAAGGGGAGGTTTGGAAGCGGGCTCAGGCTGGGTTTTCCAGGCTGTTTTTTGCCTCAAGTGCCCTGTGGCACCAGTGATGAAACTCATGGGGTGTTGTCTGAGCATCCTCCAACTGCCTGGCCCCAGACTGTCTCCAGCAGCTGCCGGTGGGGTGTTCCCCCATCCCCAATATTCCCGCTCCTCTTTGGTCCTTTCCCAAGCTGGGGGAGGAGGAGAGGGGTCCCTATGCCTCACCTGCTGCCTTGTCCCAGAGCCACCCTTTGTCCCAAGTCAGGGAGCAGTGCTGTGCCATCCTGCTGGAGTAGGGAGAGTGGTCACCTCCTTGCCATTGCTGCCACCCCTTGCTTTGATTTCTGGCTTTAGAGGAGAATTTTGACTAAATGGATTTTTGTGCAAAGACAGTGGGAGCATCACTCGGCAAATCCCCTTCCCAAACCACACAGCCACTGCCCCCCGACACCCTGGACTTCTAGCTGTTGGCGATTACATTTTCATTAATTAAGGAGATAAAAACATTGTCAGCATCTGCTGTGGGAAGCAGGGGCTCCCTGGCCCTGCAGGCTGTCACCTGGAGGAGCTGTGTTCCTCGTTAGTTTGATTTAACGAAGCAGCCGAGTAACATCGCGGTCATTTCTGAGCTGCCATCGATTTAACCTCTTGTTTATTTATGGTTCCATCTCCTCTGCCACATGTGCAGGGAGATGTTCCCTAGCACGAATGCCTGGTGGCACTCAGGTGTGTGCCTGTGCCAGCCCCCAGCTGCCACTCGTGTGCACACTCCTGCCTGGCTGTGCCAGGGCTTTTGGAAGGCTCTCAGTGCTTGCAAACTGCTGCTTTTGTTGGATTTTCTCCACTGATTGCCATGGAAACTGTAATTAAGCTGCATGGTGGCCCCTGGCAGTGTGCTGTGACACCCTGGCCTGGCTGGGGGCTCTGTGGTGGCCAGGGTGAGTGTCCCCAGGCTGGGACATTCCTGTCCTGCTGGCGCTGCCGGCTGCTGCCCGCCTCGCCCGGCTGATCTGTCTGTTTATCCAACTCCCTCCTCTCCATCCATCTGGCTCCCCATATGGGAAACAAGCAGCAAATTGGCCCAATTTCTTACCACAGGAAAACAAACCCCCAAAAAACCCCTGGAAAGCCCCAGCCAGGTGGGGGGGGGATGCTGTGCCCCATCCCTGCAGCTCTCCCTGCCTGCTCAGCACCCAGCACATCACCCTTCTCTTGGGTTTTGGCTGAAAGGAGCCAAATTTTCCCAGTTTTCCTGCAGCCCCAGTAGGGAGTGAAGTCCCCTGGAGCCTGTCCCACCTTATCCCATCCTGCTCCTCTCCAGGGTTGTGCTCTGGGAGTCTCTCCCAGCCCCGGGTGGTAATTATGCTGACCTTTGCTTGAGCTGAGATCTGTTAGTGGCAGGAGGCATCAGCCGTGTCATTTACTATGCAAATTGAGACCATCAATTACATCCAGAAGGTCCTGCAATGTTTAATTCTCTCTCCCATCTCTCTCTTTATTGGCATCTGCAGAAATGCAGGAGCAGGAGGGCTCTGGCTTTTTGGAGCTGGAGGTTGGGAGCCCAGCAGTGAAGTATGGGGGCTCTTCCAATTGTCTCTTTTAATTTTAATTACCTGCTTTTGCAATGGCTCCTTGGAAAGCTGGTGTGGAACTTGGCCAGTGCCATAGGGATGGGAACAAACCCTTCTGCAGGGCCTGGCTGCTCTGTGGTGAAGGGCTTGTCTGCTCTTCCCATGGGGTGGCTCTGCCAGAGTTTGACCATTCTGTGTGCAGAGCCCTTTGCAAATCCTGGGCTGGGGAGGGGCTGGTGCTTGGAACAGGCTGGAAAATCCTCACTGAGCTGCCGGGATGGACTGTGTGTCTGTCCTGGGGACGTTTGGAGTGTGATGTGGTGGTGGCTGAAGGTGACAGGTACCAGAGGAGCGGGTGGGAGGCGGAGAGGAGCTGTGGAGATGCAGAGTGGGAGGGAATGTGGTACAGAAGGGCTGAGTGGGGGAAGAGGAGGGCTCAGGGCAGGGCTGGGGGACACGTCCCAGGGGGTTGGGTGGTGGCCAGGAGGTCTGGCCTGAGGAGGTGGTGAAGTGCTCAGCCCCTCAGTGGGAGTGCTGGAGACACCCAGCTTGGCCTGTTGGGCTGAGGAGCCCTGCATGGTGAGAGGGACCATCCCCAGGGGACAGGGGCTTGTGGGGTGTCTCAGTGCCAGGGGGGCTCTCTCTGCTGCAGGCGGGGTCTGCGTGGCCCAGTCCGTGAAGATCCCGAGGGAGCCCAAGCCAGGGGAGTTTGACAAGATCATCCGCCGGCTCCTGGAGACCTCGCACGCCCGCGCCGTCATCATCTTCGCCAACGAGGACGACATCAGGTGCGGAGGGGGTCTGGGCAGGGATGCACTGGGATGTGTCTGCAGTGGGGACAGGCTGCACTGCGTGGCATGGCAGGGAATGTCTGCAGTGGGGACCCACTCAGAGCGGCCACCTGGCAAGTGGCTGCCATCCAGCCACAGCCACACAGAGCCAGCAGAGGAAAATCCCCTTCCCATCAGTTTTGGCAGCCATGGATATCCTGAGCTGCTGCTCGCACCACGCAGGGGCTGCTCCCAGCTGGCCAGGGCAGAACCCAGGCACTGGTTCTGCTTTGCAGAGCAGCCCCAGCCCCAGCGTGGCAGAGGAACAGACCTGGGGGACCTTTCAGGGACCTTTTGGGGACCTTTTGGGGACCTCCCCAGCACTCTGTGCCCAGCAGGGCCGGGGAGGTGGCTGCACTCAGGGTGATGAGCTGCTCTGCAGGCGAAGCGGCGGCTGCAGCTCTGTTGTTTATGGAGCAGAATGATTCACATGGAGCTACCCCTGATTTCCTAAGTGTCTAATTTATTAATCAGCAAACATTATGTAAATGTGGGTAAACTGCAAGTTTAAATCAGTTTACATCAGATGTGCAAACTCTCACAGTTTCTTTTTTCCTTCCTTAATAGAAATGTCTGTGGAGCTGACATGGGGTGGGGATGAGAGGGAAAAGGGATTTACCTTGCAGGATAAATGGCAGGTCCTGTTATCAGGGCTCTGGAAACATCCAAATGGGCTTGCAGCTCTGGGCAGGGGATTCTGCAGCCCCCTTTAGCCCAGGAGTGGGGTTCTCCATGATCCTGACCCTGCACTGTAGAGCCTGGAAGATGAGAAGGGCAGATTGGGAAGGTTGTAGCTGGAATTCTTGCCTGGCTCAGTTTGGGTGTAAATCACTGATCCCATGGGAATTTCCTGGGTTTGCCCTGTGGAGATCCTGCCCTGCACAGGGAGCAGGGGCAGCTGGAGGTGCTGCTGTCACAGAGTGGGACATGGGCTGTGACTGTCCTGGGGATGGATGTGCCCAGAGCCCAGGGCAGCCCAGGATGAGCTCGGAGCAGCCTGCACAGCTCCCACTGCACGCCTGCCTCTTCCCATCTCGTCTGCACTCTGCTGGATTTCTATGGGTTTTTTTCCCTTATTACACGTTTCAAACACCATCTGGACTTGAAATGATCAGCTCCGACGCGGGGGCTGAGTCACAACCTGCCTTGGCTCTGCACGGGGAGATGGAGCTGCCCTGGGCCCTGCTCCCACATGGCTGGGGACCCACAGGAGCCCCCGAGGGGACAGTGAGCCCTGGGAGACAGAGCCCACAGGGTCAGATCCAGGAACAGCTCTGTTCCCATCCTCCCACCGAGTTCCTGGCCTGGCTGGCAGTGGAGGAGTGTGCAGGAGTGTCTGGCACCAGGAGGGATGCTCAGCAGGACCGATGGCATCTCTGCTCCCAGCGGCTGCTCAGCTGCCCAGCTGCGCCCAGCAGAGCCCAGCTGAACCCAGCAGAGCCCAGTTGAACCCAGCAGGGCCCAGTTTAGCTCCATGCTGGGCATGGGCAGCACTGGCTGCTCCTCTCCCAGGTCTGGCCATGCTGGGGGCACGTGCTCTCCACGCTGCTGCTTTCCCTGCCTGCTGCGGCATAACCTGATTCTTTTCCTTTTTTTTTCCTTTCCTAATGTTGGGTAATTAAGGGGAAATTCAATTACCAGTCAGCAAATATGCAAATGAAGTGAGAGAAGCAGCCTGTGTGCCTGGGCTGGGAGGACAGAGGGTGTGGGAGCTGAGTGGCACTGCTGGATTTTGTGTGTCCATTGTGCACTGGGTTGTGCCTGGGGCAGGAGATGCCACCAGCACTGTGCCAGTGTCCCCACTGCCCTGGGGCCAGACAAGGAGTTGGTGGCCCAGCCTCTGCTGCTTCTTTCCACAGAAGGGTGCTGGAGGCGGCCAAGAGGGCGAACCAGACCGGGCACTTCATCTGGATGGGCTCGGACAGCTGGGGCTCCAAAATTGCCCCCGTCCTGCACCTGGAGGAGGTGGCCGAGGGCTCTGTCACCATCCTGCCCAAGAGGGTCTCAGTCAGAGGTGAGATTGCCCTCCTTAACTGCAGGCTTTGGCTATGAAACCACCATGGACTTTAAAGGCCTCCTGATTTGCCCGCCAGTCACCTTATTTTCCATGGGCCATGTTTTCCCTACTCTCCCTTTATCACCAACCTACCTAGAGAGGCATTTTGCTCTCAAAGTCCCAGAAAGTCTCTGCTTTGCAGAGGATCTTCCCTGAGTGGATTTTCCACTTGCATCTCTGCACAAGTGACACTTTGGACGGAATCCCACCACATTCTGATGTGTCCCCATCGCTCACAAGAACTCCCTTCCCCTCTGCCTGGGCAATTTGGGAGTATGGGATGCATCTCTCTGTCATCCCTGGGATTTATCCCCTCCATCCACTTTCTCCCCGGGCAGGTTTCGACCGCTACTTCTCCAGCAGGACCCTGGACAACAACCGCAGGAACATCTGGTTTGCCGAGTTCTGGGAGGAGAATTTCCACTGCAAGCTGAGCCGGCACGCGCTGAGGAAGGGCAGCAGCATCAAGAAATGCACCAGTGAGAGCTGGGGGGGCTGCTCTGGGAGGCTGGGGGCTCACAGGGGGTGTGTGGTTCTGCTTGTGAGCATGGAGTTTTTCTGATCCTGGTGGGGATCCCCATTCCAGGTTCCCAACTGCTTCCTCAAGCCCCAGTGCGCATTTTGAGTCATTTCCAGCCAAAAGAGGCTTTAGGGACGAGTGCAGTAAACAAGGCAGCCGGGGATCTGTCTTGCTGACAGCGCTGCTGTCAGGTGATGGTTGGAGGCTCGGGGAGGTGACATGTTTACTGAGAGATGGGAGAGATTTACTGCCTGCCTGGCACCGGCTGAAGACAGAAGACGGCGCCGTGGCTCGCGGGCTGTGACATGGCAGGACTTGGGGACATTGGCACGTCCCTTTGTCCCCTTCGGAGGGGTGTCTTGGAAGCCATCGTGTGCCGTCAGACAGAGGGACCTGGCTGTGCCTGTGAAGGTTTTGTTTTCCCCCTGCTTTCATCACTGAGGATGAGCAGGATGGTGCTTCCACGTCCCTGTCCTTGCAGGCATTCCCCAAGGGTTCAGCTGATGGTCTGGATGGTGCTTCCACGTCCCTGTCCTTGCAGGCATTCCCCAAGGGTTCAGCTGATGGTCTGGATGGTGCTTCCACATCCCTGTCCTTGCAGGCATTCCCCAAGGGTTCCGCTGATGGTCTGGGTGGGTGGGAGCTGAGCAAGCAGCAAGGGCACACCAGGAAACTGGCTTGTGGCCATGGCCTTGGGTAGCCAAGAGCTCCTCATCCTTCTCCAGAGCATCACGGAACCCTTGGCCCCAGGAGATGCATGAGCAGGCCCTGTGAGCGCTGATCTCCTCATCTCCACTGTGATGCAGCTTTTAAGCAGGTGATATTTCAGGGCCATGGTGTCAGTGGAAGCAGCTGAAACTACGATGTGGCAAATGTCCTAGGAGCTGTCTGTAAATCATCGGAATTTGTCAGCAAATAAACCATCTCCCAAGTGATTGCTTGGCAGATAGAGCAGGGAGCTAACGCCTGGTGAAGCAAATCACCTGCCCCTGCAGATCCACAAGCTCTTGCCTTGCAGGGCTGATGCAAATGCCCAATTTGGGGCTGTTTCCCTCAGGTTTGGGTAGAGCCCAGCATGGCCAAGAAATGCCAGCTTGGCTAGTTTGTTCCACCCCAAAAACCAAACTGAAGGATCCCACTCTGAACCAGACAGCTCCTGGCTCCCCTCCCTGCATGGGAGAGCTGGGAGGAAGGTGAGGGCTGAGCTGATGGAATTCCTGATGGCAGCAGCCCTAGCACCCATCAGATGCTTGCCACAAGCATCCCACATAGAAGGACCGTCCCTGCTCCTGGATGGGCTCACCCAGCCCAAAACCACAGCAAAGGGTGCTGGGTGCTGCCACCAGCACCCACAAGATTTGGAGATTCTCCATGCCCTGCTCCCCACAGATGTGCTGGGAGTGATTTTGATTAAGTCCTGCCAAACGGCAGGACCAGTGGTGTGCAGGGAATTGATTCTAATCCCGTCTCATCCGCGGCTGGGGGAGAGCTGCGTCCCTCCTCCGAGGGGGCCGCTGAGCCTCGTCACGCTCTTGAAAATTAATTACCAGCCCTGTAGAACGATGCACGACCCTGCTATTATAATCAGCAGGTCACCTCCCTTCTGTGGCCCTCTTCTATTGGAGCTTGGCAGAGATTTATTGTCTCCAGGTTTGGAACAAGCCTCGTCTGTCTGCTCCACATTGCCCCTCTGTGCACCGGCCTAATTCCCGTCTGGAAAAAAGCATCTGGGGCTGGGGGCAAGGTGCTGACAGACAGAGGGACAGCCCCAGGGATGTCTCCTTATCTGCACTGCTCAGCCTTGGCACAGGGATGAAAATGCAGCCTCCACAGCCTGTGCTATTGCGGTGGTTGGATTTTGGGATGTGTGCAGGGATGAGGGGACTGAGGGAAGCTGAGGAGCTGTAAGGACAAGCCCCAGGTCTTGTGTGTGCTCTGGGCAGCACAGTGCTGTGGATGGTGGCAGGGCTGTGACATCCCCACGGGCTCAGCTCCCTGGACAGTCTATTACAGCTCTTCTTTTAATGGGTAATTATCTTGACAAGACAGAGTGGCCTGTCTGCGCCTTTGGAGATGAATATGGGGAAGGGCCTGAAGTTGAGGGAGAAGATTAATGGCTCCTGTCAATAATGTGGAAGGAGGGATCACCTGCCGGGCTTTGCATGAGTAATCTCCACATTCCAAAAGCGTTTTTATAACTTTGAAGGATGGGCTATGAATTCACCTCCCCGATATCATCTTTTCCTGTCGGTCAGTTCCTTATCAGTTCGCTTTGGTGTCATGTCAGTGGCACAGGTCCTGGCACAGGGACCTCCAGCACAGCTCACAGGGCCATCCTCTCTCACTGGAGCTTCATCCCACTCCCCCACAGCAGGGAAGGAAGGTCAGCACATGGTGCTTGGTCCCCTGCAGTCCCTGTGAATCCCACCTTGCATCAGGGCGCATCCCTCCACGGTAGAGCTGGAGTTAATTTTGGGCACCCTGGCGTGGCTTTCTAGGATGTGCCGCCTCTCCCGAGGAGGGAGGTGGTGCCCTCGGCTCCCTGACAAGCCCTCCCTCCCACTGGAGGCCTGGCAGGATGCCTGGCCATGCCTCAGGGCAGGGATGGAGGGGCAGAGGCCAAGGCTCTCCATAGCGGCGTGCCCCTTGGGAGACGCTCTCTTAGCTGTAATTAACAGCGTGCTGCGTTAATCGGTGTCTTCTGCTAAGTGATTAACATGTTTGTGGTCCCATTACGGGCGGTTATGACAGGGGGGAAAGCAGCTGTCTCTGGTAATTGCCAGATCCTTGCAGGATCCTGCCAGCCAGGGAGGCTGTGGGGTCAGCAAGGCAGGGGGGTGGCAGGCAGGGGGTGATGGGGGGAGTGGGGTGACAGGAGGCTTTGGGAGTGAGATGGGGACAGGCAGGCAGTGATGGATGCTTCCTGGGCTGTCCTTGACACCACTGCTGGAGCCTGAGCTGGTGGAAACTCCTGGGAGATGAAGGAGGGATGAAACATGCCAGGGGTGAGGGTGGGATGTTGGTCACAGCCCAGCCTGTGGGGGACCCTCTTGTTCCCCTGTTGGGGACCTGGGAGTTCAGGAATGTCCCATGGCACAGGGATGTGACATCCTCAGGGCTCTTGGAAGCACAGCAGGGTGCAGCACCCACATTTTCAGAACCCTGTGAGGGGAAGATTGGCTGGGTATTCCCCAGGGAATGTTCCTTGGCCGCATATGCAGGTTCGGGAGTGGGGTTGGAATTTCCAGCTGCTCCACTCCAGGGTGGGCTCGTTTGCAAGGCTTTGGGTGCAGCAGACACATCCTGGGGGGCATGGCTGGGGCACAGGAGGTGGAACCCCCTTCCCCTGTCCCCACAGACCGCGAGAGGATCGGCCAGGACTCCTCGTACGAGCAGGAGGGGAAGGTGCAGTTCGTCATCGATGCCGTCTACGCCATGGGCCACGCCCTGCACAACATGCACAAGAACCTGTGCCCCGGCAAGGTGGGGCTGTGCCCCCGCATGGACCCGGTGGACGGCGTGGAGCTGCTCAAGTACATCCGCAACGTCAACTTCTCAGGTCTGCTGTGCCCTGGGGCCTGGCGTGTCTGCTTGTGCCCAGTGTGGGTCACACAGCAGCACCCACAGTTTATTTGTGGTACCATCTGGCAGCTGCTGCACTGTGAGTGCAGCGTGGAGGGAGGGCGGCAGATCAGCGGGTGAGGAGGTCTGAGCTTCCACATCTCCTGAGAGCTTTTGGAGTGTAAATCTGGCAGCAATCCTGCCCTCAGCCTGCCCTCAGCCTGCCCTCACCTGCTGCCCTGCCCTCACCTGCTGCCCTGCCCTCACCTGCAGCCCTGCCCTCACCCTGCCCTCACTTTCTGCCCTGCCTTCACCCTGCCCTCACCTGCTGTCCTGCCCATCCTGTTCCCCTGCCACCTCCTCCCTCCCAGCTGGCACAGGTCCCACTGCCTCCTGCTGCTCTGCCCTTGTCTGTCTCAGATCTCCTCTGGAAGCGCATCTTTTCCTCTGCCCTTTCTCCTTACTAAACATTTTCTGTCTGGTCCCCTTATTATTTCTATTTATCTCCACCCTCTGATCTCCTCCACAGTGTCTCTTTTATTTATTTTCCCCTCTCGCTTGATTCTTCTCTTCCTTCCTTTCATTAGTGTTTATCTCCAGAATTCACTTGATTTGACTTTTAAAGCTCCTTTTACCCCTTTCTGAGAAGAAGCAGCGAGGGGGGAGCATCAACCCAGAGCCCCCTTGGACCTCAGGGGACAGGGTGGGGGTGCTGGGGGTGCTGATCCCCCCCTTTCCCACAGGCATTGCTGGGACTCCTGTGACATTCAATGAGAACGGAGATGCCCCGGGGCGTTACGACATCTACCAGTACCAGATCAGGAACTCCACCCCTGAGTACAAAGTCATCGGGCAGTGGACAGACCACCTGCACCTCCAGGTAAGGGTGTGGCCCAAGGGGAAGGTCCTGCGGGTTTCTGTTCTCACCACGGAGAGTCTGGGAGCCCCTGGGTGCAAAGTCAGGCAGCCAAAGGTGTGGGGGCAGAGGGGAAGGTGTCCCCCAGGTCCACACCTGTGCTTCAGCACGTGTGACCACACCTTAGGGACTCTGGGTGTGGGACAGGAGACCGGAGCCAGACCAGAGCAGATGGGGCTTCCTCAGAGAATGAGGGGCTTCATTTTGAGTTCCTGTTGTTGAATGTTCCCAAAAGGCCAATGGAGAGCTTCACCACCTGCCTGGCCCCATGCCAGGTTGGGCTGGGACCCCTTGTGGGATGTGCTGATGGGTTGAGGGTCCACATCCAAGCAGGACAGGGCATTTCCTGTGCCCAGGCGTGCCCGGCAGGTTCCCCCTGTACCCTCAGCATGGCTGGTGCCATCTACCCCACAGGTGGAGAGCATGCTGTGGCCTGGGGGCGGGAGCCAGCAGCCCAGCTCCATCTGCAGCCTGCCCTGCAAGCCAGGCGAGAGGAAGAAGCTGGTGAAGGGCATCCCCTGCTGCTGGCACTGCGAGCGCTGCGACGGCTACCAGTACCAGCTGGACGAGTTCCACTGCAAGCGCTGCCACTTCAACGAGCGGCCCAACGAGAACCACACCAGCTGCACGCCCATCCCCATCATCAAGCTGGAGTGGAGCTCGCCCTGGGCCGTGGTGCCCGTGTTCATCGCCATCGTGGGCATCATCGCCACCCTGTTCGTGGTGATCACCTTCGTGCGCTACAACGACACGCCCATCGTCAAGGCGTCGGGGCGGGAGCTCAGCTACGTCCTGCTCACGGGCATCTTCCTCTGCTACGCCACCACCTTCCTGATGATCGCCGAGCCCGACCTCAGCACCTGCTCCCTGCGGCGCATCTTCCTGGGGCTGGGCATGAGCATCAGCTACGCCGCGCTGCTCACCAAGACCAACCGCATCTACCGCATCTTCGAGCAGGGCAAGAAGTCGGTGAGCGCCCCGCGCTTCATCAGCCCCGCCTCGCAGCTGGTCATCACCTTCAGCCTCATCTCCCTGCAGCTCGTCGGCGTCTGCATCTGGTTCATCGTGGACCCGTCCCACTCTGTCATTGACTACGAGGACCAGCGGACTACAAACCCCCACTTTGCCCGGGGTATCCTCAAATGTGACATTTCGGACCTGTCCCTCATCTGTTTGCTCGGGTACAGCATGCTCCTCATGGTCACCTGCACTGTGTACGCCATTAAGACCCGCGGGGTCCCGGAGACCTTTAACGAAGCCAAGCCCATTGGGTTCACCATGTACACGACTTGCATTGTGTGGTTAGCCTTCATCCCAATATTTTTTGGGACGTCGCAGTCGGCGGAAAAGGTAAGGAAGGAGGGGAGAGGCCTGGCTGGTGTCTGGTGTGCAGGGCTAGGAGAGGCTGTGGTGTTCTGAGCAAGAGGAGAACATCCCTGCAGCGTGATCAGCTTGGGAATTAGGGTGGGAAGTTTTCCATGTTGGCCCCACTGCCCCTCGTGGGCTGCTGCTGTGTGGGCTGGGGGAGGATGAGCCCCCGGGGCAGGTCCAGGGTGTCATGGGCATAATTCCTGCATGGAAAAGGACCTGGTGCTGCTCAGCTGGCCCCTGTTCCCAGTGCTGAGTTCCCATGGGACCAAGGCCAGCCTGGATGAGGCTCCGTGCTCAAGTGCGAGGGATTAAGAACAAAGAGTAAAAATCTTATGAATGAGACCCAAATCCCTTTGCCTGCCAGCCAAAACAGGAATCATCGCGTTTCTGTCGAACGCAAACAGCTCCCGCCTGCCAGCCCAGCGCTGCTCTGATGAACAAACCTTGGAGCTGCTGTTCCCTGGAAATCCCTGGGGCGTCCCAGCACCCAGATCCCTCTCTGGATCCCCTGAGTGTGTCCCCATGCTGCTGACACCATGGCTTTAGGACACACCTGTTGCAAAGGTTTGCTGAGGGAGCTTTTGCTGAGTTTGTCGTGTCCTGGAGCATCTCTTCTCAGAGCATCCGTCCCTCGAGGAGGCTGAGTCTGCCCAGCCACCTCTGACCTTGGCTCAACCAGAAAGTCCCATCAGGCTTTCTCTGGCTGGAAGTGTGAAGGAGAATTAAAGGAAATAAATGGAGCCTTTTGCAGCATTTCCATTTTGATGAGATGGCAGGGGAGATACTAACAAGAAAGCAGATTTTTAAAGAAATTATTGCAAAACAAAAGCTCCCTGAAAGCCTCCTTAATGTGCTTGGCATACTGTGGGTAATAAAGATGGAAATGATAATGATTGTAGATTATGCGCAAGGTTGCTCACCTCTTCACTGCAGCTTGTCACGGGATAATTTAGGGCTGCTGAACGCTGCCTGTCAGGCAGCAGCTCCACAATAGGCTGTGCCTCTCGTTGGGGGTTGTAATGCACAGGTCTGCTCTGTTATTAGGCTGCTAACAAGCTGATTAGAGGCGAAAAAAGTGATGTTCCCAACTCCCCTCGGAGCTCTGTCTCACAGCCCGGCCCTGCCTCGAGCCTGATGAGCCAACCCTCGAGGGGCGTGGGGATTCCAGGCTGGAGTTGTGCTCTGCTGATGTGGGAATGGGCCCTGAGTGTCCCCAGGCCGTGGGAATGGGCTCTGAGTGTCCCTGGGCCGCAGCTGGTGGATGATGGATGTGCTCAGATGAGGCTGGAGGGAGCAGCAGGTGATTGGGGCTCCCTCAGTGCTTTAGTTGTTGGTTTGCACTCTTGGGGAGAAAAAGGTGGAAAATGAGCTGTTGCACGGCCTGCATGGAAGGTGTGGCTCTGAGTGTGTCCCCCAGCTCACTGTGGGGAGGGATCCCATCCCCTTCACCCCACTGCTGCTGGGACTGAGGGCCTCCTGGGCTCTGTGGAGTGTCTGCACCCTTGGGAACAGGAAATCCAGGAATATTGTCTGGGTTGTTCTCTCATGGCTGAAGTCCTGAGGATACCACAGGGCAAATCCACACCCGTGAACCCCTGGCATTTCTGCCCTGACCCCAGCTGAGGCTGCAGGGCTGCAGCAAAGGCTTCCTCGTGGTGTGGAGGAGTTGGATTACAATCCCCATTTTTACTTTTATTTGCTTTTCCTCGTGCCCACAGCTTTGCATGGAGGTGGCACATTATTGTAACAAGTCCCCCAAGCCTTTTCTGAGCAGAGCCTCTCATCCCCGCCGATCCCGGCGGATTACAGGAATAGCAATAACAGAGCATCTAAAGAAAGAGACAATTTCCTGCACTGATAAGGTGGCAGCAGAACAGTGGAATCATTGTCTGCTTCCCTGTTTATCACATTCGCTTTTAGCCAGGGAAAAGAGAGAAGGGAAGGAGTGAGAGGGCCTGTCCTGTGGTTTTCAGAATGCTGAGCAGGTTTGCCCTTCCCCAGCACCCACCACGGTGCAAAACCCCTTGGAGTGGGGCCAGGTGTGGATTTAGAGTGGAGGCAGCTTCCCATTCCTGCAGAGATTTGCTGTGGGACAGGCACAAGCCTGGGCTGTGCCTCAAGCCTGGGCTGCTCCCTCGGGCAGGACAGGCTCACCCAGGCTCAGCAAAGCCGAGCACAGTGTGGGTTTGGGGGCTGCTGTGGGGTCATTTGGGGTTACTGCTGTCCCTCAGCGTCATTGCCCTGAGCCAGGGCTGCCTGTGCTCTTTGATCCAGCCCTGGAGGCAGCAGGAGCTGGAACTTGCTCAATAAGCACAGCTCACACCTCCCAGGCTCAGGAGGAAGCTCCAGTGTTGTTAACGGAGGGGCAAAGCGAGGTCCTGGGCTGGAAGCCAATTAAGAGAGTGGGAAGTGAAACTGTGAGAAATGGTCATTTTTTGCAGTGGCAAAAGGTTAACTGAGCAGAGCTGCACGGCTGTGTGGAGGCTCCAGGCTAAAAATATTCCTGTCTGAGCTGGTGAGGGGTTTGCTGCGGCGAGACACGGCTGCGGGGGCTGGAGTGGGCAGAAAACGCTTCCTGCAAACGCAGCATGGAGGGAAGGTTGCCACAGTGGCCCTGTGAGACCCTAAAAGTGCTGCAGGAGGCAGAGAGTGGGGTGGGGAGCTGGGGCTGGGGCCAGCGGGGTCTCAGCACAGGGGGGAGTCCCTGGCAGCGCTGGGAAAAGTGGCCCAGGAGCGAGGGGGGAGCACGCAGGGAGATGTCTGAGCTCAGCTCAGCTCAGCTCAGCTTGGCTCAGCTTGGCTCAGCTGCTCCCTCCCTCCTCGCTGAAACGCCCCCAAGGCACAGGGAAGGGGGACTCTCTGCAGAGGCACAAAATATGGAAATGGAAGGGAAGGCAGGGAGCCAGGGAGGTGAGGGTGCTGAGCTGAGCTGTGCCCCACCAGGGTCACGCTGTGCTGGTCCCCAGGCAGGGCTTGGGGTGCCTGGAGCTGGGCTCTCAGTGTTTCCCTCATTCCTGGCTGGTCCAGGACGCCCATGGCAGAGTCTGGAGAGTTGGAGTAGATTAAAAAAAAGGAAGAAATAAAAAAGCGCACATATTCTGGCACAGAGATGTGTTTTGACTTTGCTTGATGAAATGACATTTTTATTTCCAAAAACTGCCTAGAGAGAGAAGGTGGAACAAACAAACCGGCGCGTGTGACAGCAGGAGGTTTTATTCTGGGGACAAACCAAAGTTTTTCAGTTGACTCAGAACCAGCTTGGTGGCATTTTCCCTCTGGGGCTGGAACGCTCTGGGCTCTGGGCCTGGTTGGCATTACAGGGTCACAAGTGGGACCTGGGGGGCTCCTGGAGGGGTCCTGGGGCAGCTGTGTCCCACCAGCTCTCACTCCTGGGAGCTGTGCAGAGCCTCTGCCTCGCCTGTGGTCTCCATCACCTTTTCACTTCAGAAACCCTCAGGTGTGCCTGTGGGGACATGGGGACCCTGCTCTGGCTGCTGCTGCAGCCCCCAGGCTTCCCTGGCTCCTCCAGGTGCTGTCTTCTCAGAGGGCATGAAATGCCACCTGTGAAACACCTGGGGAACCCCTGGATATTGAATCAGGTGAAGTTCAGGAACTGCTTTAAGGCTCCTTCTAAGGCCTTGTGGGTGCCCTGCGCACAGGTGTGTGCAAAGGCATCTGGAGACCCAGAGCCCCCTCCCTGCTCATCCCCAGAGCTTCAGAACTGCCTGGTGGAGAAGGGGATGCTGGAGGGGAAGGAGCCAGATGCTGGCAAAGCAGGGATGCCCATGGAGCAGGGACCTGCCCTCCTGGCCTCCCCGAGAGGTGGGATGGGCAGAGGGAGGGGGTCTCTGCTTCCAGTTGCCACCTGCTTCAGATGCCCTGGCTTGAGAGGAGCCTGCCAACTGCTCTCCATAGAAAAATGGATTATTCTACAGTCAGATTAATGGGCTTTCATTTTGCAAAACATCTGTCACTGTTAGTCCTGGACAGTGAGCGTGAAATTAGTTTTGACTGCAAAAAGGCAGCGTCGGTGTGTAATATGTGACTTACATGACAAGAGCCCAGGAGTCAGCTGGGGAATGGGAATTACCTGTTGGAGGGAGAAGGGCAGTGGGGCGTGCCCTGGGATCAGGTGTCCTTGCTGTGCCCAGCACCACCCTTGCAGCTCCTGCCCTGAGGCTGGTGGAGCATCAAACCCCACCTTGAACACCAGCACTGCCACCATTCCAGCACTGCCTCCCCACTCCTTTCATTTAATCCCACATTTCCCTCATTTCCCCGTTTGCTCCTTTCCCTTTTGGGTCCCACAGGGGCTTTGGGCTCTCAGCTGGTGGCCTTGTGTCTTGCAGATGTACATCCAGACCACGACGCTCACCATCTCGGTGAGTCTGAGTGCCTCGGTGTCCCTGGGCATGCTCTACATGCCCAAGGTGTACATCATCCTCTTCCACCCGGAGCAGAACGTCCCCAAGCGCAAGAGGAGCCTCAAGGCCGTGGTGACAGCTGCCACCATGTCCAACAAGTTCTCCCAGAAGGGAGGGTTCCGCCCCAACGGAGAGGCCAAGTCGGAGCTCTGCGAGAACCTGGAAACACAAGGTGAGGCTGCTCCCACAGGGATCATCAATGGGGATGGGGAGAGCTGAGCTCCATCCTCACATCCCTGACTGCAGAGGGCTGGGGCAGCTCCTGTGGTGCCCAGGAGGGCATGGGCACGGCAGGCAGCTGCAAACTGTGGGAGAGGGGATGGGACAGGGAGAGGGGAGCTGGGCACTTCCCTGGCACGGGGGCAGCTTTGGGGTGCAAAGGGCTGATTCCTCCTCATTTTCTCTTCTTGTGCTGGGGCTGGGAGGCGCAGGGGACGTCAGCACAGCACCGAGGGGACATTTTTCACTCTGTCACTGCCGGGTCACGTAGCCTTAAATAAACAACAGAATAAATAATTCACAGGGCTTTGATACGGGCAGATCAGCTACGAAAACATCGCAGCTAACAAATAGCTCTGTCAGCTCCAATTCCTTCTGCTCTATCTAATTGTTATCTGGGAACTCCAGTTGGAGACCTGCAGCAAGGTTCCACTGCCAGCCAGGCACTGTGAGCTGCTGGTGTCCCCTCCCTGTGGGGACACCTTAGTGCTGCCCAGGCTGTGCCATCTGTGCCAGCACCTGCCTGTGCCCTTGGCTGGAGGGTGTCCCTGTGCCTGCTGACCCCGTGGTACCTGGGCACCTCGTGGGGACATCAGCAGAGCGTTGTCCCCACTGAGGGCAGTGGCACAGCTCTGCAGGGAGCGGGGGGTTCATTGCTCTGTGGCTTTTGCTGTGCCCCCCCAGTGCCACCCTGGGATGTGTGGTGGCTTTGGAGCCATTGCTGCCTCCTCCCCTGGTGTGTCTGGGGAAGCTGGGGGTGGCAGCAGGGCTGTGTCCCTGTGGCACCCTCTGCATGAAGGGACAGCAGGGTGGTGGATTTTGTGCCCTGCTGCTCCACTCCCAGCTGCTGTGGAGCGGGGACCCAGGGGTGTGGGACACCCAGCTGGGACCCCAAACCCCCTAGGACCCTACAATTTGTGCCAGGCAGGGCTGGCTGGGAGAAGCTGAGCCTTGGGAAGGTTCAGCAGCTCTGGGTCTGTCTGTAGGAGGTGGCTGAGGGAAGTGGAGAGGAGCCTGAGACCACATTCCCACTGCTCACAGCACATCCTGGGCTCTCTTTGGCTCCTTCAGGAGCACCCCCAGCCGCTGTGGGGCTCAGGGAAGGACCCCAAGTGCCAGCACTGCCCAGATCCCTGAGCAAACCCTGTCACAGCCCTGCTGGCACGATGGCTGGGTCAGGGGGTGGGACAGGTGCCAGGAGGGGAGGGTGTCCTCTGCTGATGACCCACGTGAGCTCTGTGTCTCCTTCCAGCACTGGCCACCAAGCAGACCTACGTCAGCTACAGCAACCACGCCATTTAGCTCCAGGAACAGCGAGCAGGAGGCAGCTGAGCTCCTGGCAGGGACAGCACCACAGGACAGGCAGGTGGCAGCCGGGGGACAGCCCCAGGGCAGAGTCCTGGGGGAAAACGCCATCAACAGCAGCAAAAAAAAATCCATAAAGAAACACTAAAACTCTTCCAGCGCCCACGGTGGCGATGCATGGCTCCCACAGAGCGGGGACGGAGCACGGGCAAGAGGGCACGGACTTCAGCAAGTCTTTGGGTTTTGTTTTTTCCTGTATTTTGGCAAAAAAGAGAAAAAAAAAAATAAGAGCCCCGGCATTTTCCCTTTTCTGGAATTTGTGAGATTGTTTGTGGTTGTGCAGAACCTTCTGTTTTCTCTTTTTATTTTATTTTAATCTTCCATCTTCTTTTCGTTCCTGTCTTCCTCCGTCCCTCTTCACTCTCTACCCCATATCCTACCAAATTCTATATGTTGCAAAAAGGAAAAATAAATAAAAATACTTAAAATTTACATTTAAAAAAAAAACAGACAGCAAAATAAAATAAAATAAAACCTAGACTGTGTTCAAAGTGCTGATTTCTATAGGTGGTTCCTTAATGTATGTGATGACCATATGGATTGAAATATGTCTGCTTTATGTACTGACCAGTCAAAAAACAAAAACACACAAAAAAAAACAAAGTTCAGTGCCTGGATGTTTATGAATTATTCGATGACTGTGTAGAGCATGATCATTTTTATACGAGGAGATTTCTAATAAAAGACCCTGGTTTTGCACTCGGCGTTTGCTGTCTCTTGGTGACTTGGTTTCAGGAGGTGCCAGGGAAGGTTTTGGGTGGCCAAACCCTCTGGGAGAGCTCAGGCCTTGCTGTCCTTCCTCTGCATCCATCCCTGGAGGTTCCAGCTGCAAACTGTGGGAGAGGGGATGGGGCAGGGAGAGGGGAGCATGGCACATCCCTGGCACAGGGCACGGGGGCAGCTTTGGGGTGGGAAGGGCTGATTCCTCCTCGTTTTCTCTTCCTGAGCTGTGAGGATGGAGCAGAGGGGAGGAGATTTCCCAGGGAGATTTCCCAGTTTTCTCCCTGCACCTTCAGGCTGCCAGGGAAGCACTGGAGTCCCCCTCCCTGGGGGGATTTGTTTAACAAGTGTGCAGGTGTGGCACTTGGGGACATGGTGGCATTGCTGGGTTAAGGGGTGCACTGGAGGATCTCAGGGGGCTTTTCCAACCTAAAGGATCCTGGGTGAACAAGGACCAACAAAAGCAGCTCTGCCTCTTCCAGGCTCCAGGCTGTCCCTGGGGTGGCCCAGCTGTGTGTGAGGGATGTGGCTGTTCCCAGAGCCTGGGCTGTGCCTTTTGGGGGCAGTTTGGTGCCTTGGCTGCTGCTGTTTCTGTCTCTGGCCGGGCCATTCCAAGTGTTTCCCTCTTGGATTGGGGCTGGCTGGGCTTCTTGGCCGCTGGGTCAGGAGAGGAGGGTCCAGACCTGTCTCTTTTTTTGGGAAATGGGGAAAGGAGGCAGAGAGGTGCTGGGTGCCTCCAGCTTCTGGACAAGCTTTGTTTCAATAAAAAGCCCAATAAATGCTGGAGCTAGGCCTGGCCAGGGAGGGGGTGCTGGGATGACTCCCTGTCCCTTTGTGCCTGTTCCCCCAACCCCAAAGTGCTGCTATTTCCCCCTCTCTGAGCCTGTGTGGTGTCACCCCTGTATTTTGCACATTTCTAGAGCTGTTTGTGTGTTAATCACAGCTCTGCTCTCCCCATGGGCTGTGTGTGGGGCACCTGGGTGCCCTGAGCCCCACGGGAGCCTCAGCCAGGAATTGGTGCCAGAGGGAAAAGCACAGGGGACAGAGCCTGGCTTGAAGGCAGGAGTTAAAAAAGGAGAAAAAAAGCAGCGTAATGAAAAGCTGGAAACTTTGATAAGATCATACTTGTCAAGAGAGCTTCTCAGGAGAAAAAACCGCTCCGCTCCCAGCGCATCCATCACTGTCGGATGGGATGCGAGGCCCTGCCTGGTTCAGAGGGCTCTGAGGAAACCCGAGCTGATGGCTCTGCTGCGGCTTCTGGCTCGGGGATTCTGCTCTCATGGTGTCACGAGCAGCTCTCAGCCTGAATTCTGCCTGATAATGAGTGGAAATTCTGATTCTGACTCAATTCCAGCCCCCACCTGCCTCCCCTTGCTGTGCCTGTGAGGGGATGCTCCAAGCCCTGCAGAAATGCCCCATTCTTATCACCCCAAACCTGAGCTGCTGGAGGGGCCCTGTCCCTCCCAAGCCATTCCAGTGACCTCCCAACACAGCTGGTTTTTATCCAGCACCTCATGTGCTGTTTAATTCTAAGCACCTCTTTGATGATGTGAGTTAATTAAAAGGGAGCAGCCTGTGAGCCATTGAGGTGGATGGGGATCCAGCCAGGCTCTGCTGTGGATGCCGCCTGTGAGGATCCAGATTCTGCTTTTCTGCTTGGCTTAATATTTTTGGGGAGAAGAGCAAAGTGGATACTGATTCCTGGATATCAGATTCCTAGTTTTGGGTATTTTGGGTATTTTCTTTTTTTTTTCAATGAGGAATCTGGAAATTGTTGCCATCGTTTCTCCTCCTCGCCTCCCCTCAGAGCTTTAAAAGCCCTTGTCTGATTTTCCTCTTATTTCTGTGAAGGGCTGTTGAATTTAAACAACGATAATTGCCTGAGTTCCCCGAGTACTTGACCTGCAGATTTTTCACTTTTTCTGGGACTTTGAGGAGTGGTGAGAAAAAAACCTGGGCTGGTGCCAGCTCCCTCCATGCCCTGCCCGTATCTTCCTCCCTCCTGGAACTTTCTGTTGTCCTTGGCTGCTGTTCCCAATGGCCAGCTCTTCTCCTGAGCTCCCTTCTCCAGGGACAAACAGGAATTTTCAGGGTCCCAGGGCACAGCTGGGGGCTGGAGTGGGAGCTGTGCCCCCGCCTGGAGCAGCAGCAGCCTGGAACCAGTCATTAACTCTCTTCTGTGAGAGGCAAATTACAGACTTCGGTGGCATAATTAGGCCAACTCGATGGGAAATGGAAAAACAAGATAATTTCCCTGTGAATTTTCCAGCCTGCCTGCCACCTCGTGCCTCCCTTCCTGTGTCTTGGGGAAAATCAGCCCCTGTGGGCTTGGAGATCTCCCGCTCCTCCTTGGGGAGGAAACCTGGGGGAAGGGGATGGGAAGAGCAGGGCTGGAGCAGAGCTTGCTTTGGACAGGACAGGAGGGCAGGGCTCCATTCAGCTCCTCTCCCGCCAGGAGAGCCCCACGGACCCATTTTCACCCATTTTCACCCCAGGAGAGCAGAGTGGTGCTCAGAGCAAGGTGGCACTCGGGGTCAGAGCAGTGGTTCCATCCGCGGTGCAGGAGCAGCTCTGGGAACAAACTGGAGCTCGTTTCTCTGCTCCAAAGTGTTGGAGGAGCTGTGATGGGCCCCTCAGTGCTGCTGGAAGGTGGGCAGTGCCCCTGAGGGGACAGTGGGTGCCCTGGAGGGAGGTGGCAGCACCCTGGGGAAGGTCCAGCTCCAGTGGGGCCTTTGGAACTCCCTTTGGAGCAATCCCTGTGGCTGGAGCCACGGATGGAGGCACGAGCTGTGTATCTCAGGGTTTCTCCCCAGCCCCAATGTTCTCTTGTAGGGCCCAGTGAGTCAATGGTGGTCTGTGTTGAAATCTCACTTCAGTGGTGAAAGCTGCAATTAGCATTTAATGAAGCTTCTTGCTTTTATTTTTAGGTAACCTCCGATTCCCTGACTGTGTAATTTAGTCCTCCATTGCTTGGAGATAATTAAAGTATGTCACTATAATTTGCTTTTTTTAAAAGCCTGTAATTATGTTTTTATTGAGAATAAAAAACGGGGGGGGGGGGGGGGGGGGGAACGAAAACAATGTTAGGGGAGGAGAAAGCTTTGGATGGGCAAGGGGACTTCTTCCAGCCTGATGGGCTTGGAACTCGTTCCAGGATGCTGGGTAGGCTGGGGACAGAGGAAAAGCTCCTGGTTTGAGAGGGAAATAGCGAGGTGAGATATTAGAAGTGAAGGGCTGAGAGCTCTGGGGCTCCAGCCTGATGGGTTTGGAGCTCATTCCAGGATGCTGGGTAGGCTGGGGACAGAGGAAAAGCTCCTGCTTTGAGCGAGGTGAGGTCTTTGGAATGGAGGGCTGAGAGCTCTGGGGCTCCTCGAGCCCTGAGTGTGGTGGGGGCTGCAGGAAGGACCAGCTGGGCTTCCTCTGCTGCCTGGCTGCTGCCCCTTGGCATCCCTCACCTGCCCCCCAAACGCTCAGCTCTGTTGGCTGAGCCTGGGGAAGCAACGTCCGAGGTCTCATCCCTGCTCTGCCCACTCCCAAAATTTCCCTTCCCAGCCCAGCAAACATCTGGAGCACTCAGGGCTCCGTCCAGCTGCAGCATCTGCTGGAGCAGCTCTGCCCTCCCTGCATTAACAGCCAGGAATTAAATATCTCTTCCCAGGCCTGACAGCGCTGCGCAGCCCTCGGGGGATGCTCGGGCTCTGCTTGCATCTCCAAACGCTGCTCTGGATGGCAAACAGCCGCTGTCCCTCCATCCCCCCGGGGCTGTGTGACGCCGAATGTGCCAGCCCGAGTGTCCCGCCTGGCTGGTGGCTCCTGGGCAGCCCAGTGAAACCAGTGAAACCAGTGAAACCAGTGAAACCAGAGCCTGCGAACTGGGCTGGCAGGAGGGAGCAGCCGCGGCCGCAGGAGCCGCTCACCTGCAATTCACAGGCTGGAAATTGGCTGTCGGAGGGAAGTTGAATAACGAATAAATTCGAGATAATTGATTGGCCTGTGGCCAGTTCACAGCCGGGGAGAGCTGGAATGAGTTGGATTGTTGGCTTTTTCTTTAAGTTAGTCTCACTCGAAAATGCGAGCGCTAAGAGGTTACGTTTAGTTTGGAATATATTTAATTCATTAAAATGTTGATCTCTGCTGCAGAGTTCAGATCTGATTCCAGGCTTTATTCCTTATCTAAATGCAAAGGTTTCTTGCCAGAAATACAAAGCAGAAAAGAAATCTCGGTGCTTAGGAAAAGTGACATGATGGAAGGAGCCGGGGCTGGACTGCACCGCACTGCGGGGAACCTGCTGGGACTTGAGCTGCCACCCTCACCTGGCCGGTCCTGGATTCCTCCTTCCCACGCTGGGGTCCCATCCCGCAGTGTCCCCGTGTCCCGGGTGCTGCAGGTGTCACCCAGAGCAGCCGGTGTCCCCTCAGGGCTCTGGGATGCTGCGGGATTTGCTGCAGTCCCCTGCAAAACTTCCCTCGGGAGCTGAGGCCAAAGTGACTCGGGAAAGTTTTGGATAGAGCAGTACCAGGCCAGGGATTTCTGCTCAAGCCCCAAACCCCTGCTCCCCTCTCGGATACCTGGGCCGGTGGCGCTGGGAGCAGGCTCAGCCCCTGCTCGTTTGTCCCCAACCCTCGGTGTGCAGAAATGTCCCTCCCCAGCCCTCTGTCACCGCACCTTCATTGCAGAGCCTTTGTGATCCGCAGGGGATGACAAAGGGAAGGAACAGCGCTTTAAGCCCCCCTAAAATCCACACACCATCGCCAGCTTTTGTACCGGTTGCTATGGGAACCCCATACGTGCACCGGAAACGCTGGAGTATGCAAATGAGCTTCTTAATTAGTTCTCCTCAGCCTTTCATGCTCGCGGTGCAGCAATTTGATCATTAGATGAACATGCCACTTCATTATCGGCAGCTTAACCAAACACGAGCTGCGGTGACCTTAGGGGAGGGCAGGGTGCCTTGGGAGCCGGCCGAGGACAGGGATGAGGGGG